TGGTGTTACTTACAATGAAAATGCAGACAAATTTGTACAAATACGTCACTTGTTTCAAATTAATATTCAGTTTGGATATAAATTAAGAATAAGATTCAATGCCGTACACACCAAAGTTATATGAGGGAAATGACTTCAAGCTATATTTCTTCCCAAGTATGTGTAATCCATGCAAAACATGCTTGGTTTTTTTTAATGCGACGACAATATTCCTGTTTCTTGATGTGCTCCATGGAATGACTAGTTAGCAGATTGTTCCCACAAACTGAAGACAAAATGGACAGCAGCCATGTAATTTCACCATAAACCAAATTTATGTAATTTGAACGATACTAATCCATGACTGTACAATCGGTGTGTCCTACACAGGTAGGAATAAATATATATTATATTATTATTAAATATGCCTAATAATCGTATATTTTGTTTATCGTATTGATGTTGCCTGTTAACTGGCATCCGTCATGTACAAAAAATGAGAATAAATTATTATTTCTTTGAAAATTATTGCCATTCTATTATTTATTTCTCCTTACAACGGCAATATCTCAACGTAATTCGGTTGAAAGATAAGTACTTGCACAAGGTCACAAACGACTAACATGCCATCCAAGTAGTTCTCAGTTTTCAACACATTCCAGGATACTTAATTAAAAGTGTTATAAACATGACTCCTATTCAAACACGATACAAGCGAAATTTCAAAGGAATATCCGTCACCACGCAGCAATGAGCTGGGTAGCTAAGTAAGGATCTAAGATATGGTTAAAACAAACTTGTCGCACTTTCGCTTTGACATGGTTGAACATGTAGGACAGAGGTAGTCGATTCCGATTTGAATTTCCTCAGGAGGTTAGTCTCGTATTATGTGCCTAGAGGAATGCGACAGTCATATCAGATGTTACGTTTCGCTGTTCTACGATGTTTCAACAACCTTTTTAAACAACTGAAATATCTATTGCGGAGAAAGCCGTACTTTGCTCGAAAAGACCTCGCAATAGATTTCATCCTCACCCTGCACTGCTACAGAGAAAAATCATACCTACCACGGCAATACGGGATTCAGTGTACAGAAAATGGTTAGAAGAAGTTCATTATCTAGGAAAAGCAACAGACACAGGAGGATACTTACGAAATGACAATGAAATTTTTGTTTGAGGAGACAATACAAGTAGGAATTCAGAGTATGAGTGGGTTCTGATTAGGTAATTTTAAGTACACGAATACTTACAATTCACTTAAACCACTTTTAGTAATCATTGTTTACTGACTGATGCTTTTTATATGCCTTTCATCCAATATTAGCTTTACCAATTCACCATCCTCCCCTTGTTTATCCCCTTTATTGAATACAGGACGTAATTTTTTCTGAATTTTACGGTACTTATACTATTGTAATGAAAACAAAACCAATATTATAAACACTAATCAGTGTTTTATTTTCTTTACTTGCGGTAAGATACTCAGGAGTCAATTTTTTGGATCAGGAGATACAATAGTTGCAGGACCTAGACCTTAACGAAGACCAGTAAGACTGTTAGACTCTAAGACTGGACTCCCGCACGTTTTAAAAGTTGACTCTCGTACAATAAACGTTCCCTGCACAGCTCGTGTTCTCTTTTCACTACTTGTGTGTCTGCTGCTTTGCTTGTTACAAATTGGCGTCGGAGGTGTTCTATACTCAGTGTAAACATGAAATCAGACTCAAATGAACCTCCTGCAATATGCTGCACCCAGAAAGCGAACACATATTCCTCATCCACAGAACACACTCCCTGTGCTAGTGCTGCAGCCCATGGACATCAACAGTGACTACGAGTTGTGAAATTTTCCGTATGGAATCTCTCCTCACAGGTCTATCCCTACAAGCTCAGTACACCCAGATCATGTATGCTCTGAGTGATGCTGCCTTACGCCGTGCAATCGCAGTCCCAATCCCAGACGCTCAACGATAACCAGCGCATCCTAAATGAATGCTTTGCACAATCATCTAGTGCCTTCACGTACTTGCACTCCTTCCTAAGTCGTCATCAAGAACCGTGAGAGACGACTGTCGACTACCTCTACCAACTCCGTGAGATTGCGTGTTATACCTTTCTAACACTCTCTAATGCGAATAGCGATGAGGCCATTTGTACTCGCTTCTCACAAGGCCTCCTATCTTACGAACTTAAGTGGCAACAACTACGCAACCCATCTAAGAGGCTCTCAAGATAATCAAACGCCTCGAGAGTATTGAACATATTCTTCTACCAAATGCCAGTACTTTCTGTCACACCTTGGGGACCACTGGCCACAGAATACCCGTCACAAAGCCGCCTTAACGCCCTCCTACCAGCCCAGCCCGCAACCCACTCCAAACTAAACGATGACCCTAGAAGATATTATTATTGTCGTCGATTTGGTCGCAAGGCATGGAGATGTGGACACAGTAAATAACCTTCAGGTGAGCCACTTCTTAATGTACCCTTATCCAGTCAGTGTATGAAATCCCCACTTATTCTTGAGGGTAGAATTCATGGTGTAGAAGTAGCATTTCTAGTTGACGCCGGGGCATCTTCCTCTGTTGTCCACACGGGGTTTGTTCAGAGATTGGGGGCTAGCCCCCAACTTCTCACCAGTCAGCTGCAGTTAATTACCGCCAACGGACCTCCTATCAAGGTAACTGACTCCGTTACCCTTCCTGTGACCTGAAAAGGGTTCACCTGCAGTCATTCTTTTATCTTATGTGACGTGGTACGATAGGACGTCATATTAGGTGTTGATTTCTTAACCACTCAACACGCTGTGATTGACCTAGGTCGTTTTCCAATTCGGTTGAGAGCACATAACCTCGCACTTAGTCGACCAGTTATTCACAATCAGTGTGCTAATGCCTGTACCCCATCATAGGTGACTACGGTGGACATCAATGCCTACCCTTATTTCAACTTAAAAGACCGTAACGACACTCTGGCCTTGCTACAAGTGTAAAGCGACGTGCTTAATGACGGTCGCGTTATTGGGAGGGGGGGAAATAATGTTGTACAATACGAGATCAAGATAGGGGATAACTTTCCACCTCGGCGGACACCCATTCATCATCAACAACAGTTGGACACGATGATAGCAGAAATGTTACAAAAGAAAGTGGATAAACCATCTACTTCACTGTGGGCATCACCTATTCTACTTATGAAGAAATGAGATAGCTCTCCCCGTCTGTGCGAAGACCGTCGTCGTCTAAATGCAATCACACAACGAGATTCTTTTCACTTACCTCGCACAGACGCTACACTAGATGCTTTGGGTGGGGCTTGGTGGCTCTCCAGGTTAGACCTGGCTTCCGGCTATGGGCATGTTGAAATTCGTCCTGAAGATAGACCTAAACCTGCCTTTGTCGTGCACACAGGGTTGTATAAATTCGAAACCTTGTCATTTGGCCTTTCTAATGCCCCTGCTACGTTTCATGCAGACATTGCTTGCAAGGTTAGTCCCCAAACAATGCTTCATTTACCTGCACGACAACATCGTGTTCTACTTACACATCCACAATCTTCATCATTTGGTTTGCAAGGATTCGACTGATTTCAATTTTACTCACGAATTAACTGTAGTTAGACAGCCATGGAAAACCAGAGAGTACTGAATAGTTGTTTCACCTTTGTTTGAGACTCTTCATCAGTACGCAACTGTCACCCTACTAGGGATCAGAACCCATACCTTGAGGTTACGAGGCAGCCTTGTATATCATTCAGTCACTGGGATGGAATCCATAGGTCCATGAATTTTAACTCCTACCAATACGCTATATATAGCGTAGCAGGCAATGTCAGTGATGGATACCTATCCTCAAACTCAACTTGCTGGGCCCCGTTAGTCACGACTTCCAACTGATGAAGAGTCTCAAACAAGGACAGAATAGTCCTCTAGTACTTCCTGGTCTTCAGTGTTTCTCTGACTGATGTCAATTTTATGAGCAAAACTGACATCCGCAAAAGTTATCCGTACACTGTTTCTTTTGTCTTCATTTCATGCATTCTATGTTGTTTTTTCATAAGGGCCTTTATTTCTCCTCTTCGTAATTTAATTCATCACTCCTTTATTCAAAATTCTTGCAGAAGGTCTAGCACGCAATATACTACTTATAACTTATTATCAGTAATCCAAGCAACAACTTAATCTAGGAAATCTCATGCAAGCTAACTATCATCTGATTGCCTACACAAGTCAACATATTTTTATCTTAGCTTACTAACAGACTTAAAAGACATTCAATATTAGCCTATAACTGAAAATGTCTTTTTTTAGTGGAATGAGGTATACTATGCTAAATTTCATCCAAACTGCTACTCTTAAAAATCCCGTCTTCCTGAAGTACTAACATGTCATGCACCTTCAACCTGGGCAACTGGGTAGTAACCATTGGCCCCCATGGAATAAGTGTGGCTTATACCCAACACTGGATAACTGAGATGTGACAGACTGACTGATGTGCCAACATCGTTGAAGCATCTGAACAAGAAGTCGACATGTCAACCTGAGACCGAGCTCTTCCGTCCAGTCAACCGATGGGAAAATCTAAAATTCAGTTGTTTTTAATATGACCCGTTGCACAAGAGGTGGCTCTTGTGGCCCAAGTGGTCTAGTGGTTAACACTTTGGCGTTTGAGACTATGGGCAATGGGTTGGAGCCTCGATGGGGACATCATCACTCACTGCGGAATGCAGGTGTATCCAGATGACGAGTCCCAAATAGGACGAAATGCGCATCCTGGATTTCACTATCCACCAATTAACTTCTATGTAGAGAATCTATTGCAAAATTCATTTCTGAGGCTATACTGTCTGAAATATATGAGAATTGGTCCTATTCTACAAGACTTGAATACTTCTGAACAGTAGTCACGCTGACAAAGAAAAAGAAAGTATGCCTTACAAGAACAACCGAATCAGTGTTTTATATTCTTTGACGTCAATAAAATCTATTGAATATCATCATAATAGTACCCAAAAAAAATGAAAATGAAAAAGTCTTGAGTAGAAAAAAAATAAGGATTATCTGAATTTTAAGTATGTACACATATATGTATATCTGGCTATCTACATGAAGTCAACAGTTAACACTTGGTGAACGCCATGCATAGTAATGAAGCATTCGAGCAGTAAGTAATGCTAAATAATGCGTTTGTGTAGGTGTAACATAAATGGGGCATACATCCAGAATAGGATTGTCAGCTGTTGTTTCAGGAGGTTGTAGAACTTGTTGTTGTGTAGCATCATCACATCGCCAAATGATAGCACCACCAGCATCTTCACTGCCGGCAACAGCAATAAGATCTAAGGTGTGAAATATACATTTATATTTAAATAATAGAGAAAATAATTCATTAGAAATGGTTAAAAATGGTTTCTTTATATAATTATTACTAATTAGAAGTGTAGTAGTAAAACAGACTAGTTCACAGATGATATAATATTATGAACAATAAATTGTGTTTGAAAAGTCGTCCAGTGAATAGTACTGTTTCACTCTATGTGTGTATGTGTGTGTGTGTGTGCGATATCCAATAAACACACTAATCAGAAATTATACACTAGTTAGGTTGTAACGACAGAAGACAAGGGGCAGGCAACAGATCGTTTATTGAGGAAATCAATAGATATTTATAGATTTTAATGTACATTATTATTAGCGTTATTGTTAGCAGAGAAGCAACCTCTTTTGATTGGTTGTTTTCTTACTGAAAGTAATTCTGTTATTGCTTTTGTGACCGTTTCTCAGAAATTCAAGTCATTTTTCTGCGAATTATATTCCCACACCTCAACTCCGCTGTGATTGGCTGGTGATTTTCTCAAGGTTAAGCTTTGTTATTGTTTTTCTCACGTCCCTGTAAATTGTTGTCTACAATTTCGGCTTGCAGGCAGCTCTCACTACAGGTTAACAAATTATTATTATTGTTCCCTTGGGTTCCGGGTGGAAAATAGAGCTTCAGTAGCAAATATCCACTGCACTCGCTTCACTGTAGTCATTTTTATTTGGCTCCATGAATGCCTATCGGGCTTTCATCTCTTCCCCACACGATTTTCTTCATGCCACACCCCCTCACACGCCAAAGTTATCGTTACGCATTCAGCAAACTTACACAGGAATGTAATTAGCCTACTATTCCTAGAAGCGGGATGAACTTTATGACAGTAATTAGTTATATTTGTTGTTTAATACAATTTTTAACGAGTTAATACATAGATACAGTTATGGTTTCCTTAATTGTTTCATTATGTTAATAATAATAATGATAATAATTTGCTTTATTCCAAAACAGTACTTGTGATACAGAATGGAATTCTCAGCATTTTTTACTACAGTATTGCATCCAGTTAGTACATTATCAATAAATAGAATTCTACTTAGATTAAGGAAATCTCAGTTCATTATGACAACAACATATTGGGATGTCGGTAGCAAAGCCAACCCTGAACAGTGTTTGAAGGTGTTAGAAAAGTAGGTGCTGTCATATTTACTGGCGTAAGCGAGAGAAAGAAACAAAGCAGCACAAAACGGAAAAAAGAGAGAGAGAATAGGAAAAGAAAGAAAGAAAATGTTGTACCTATAAATGATATGAGTTGGAAAGACGAGGTCCAGTTGTTCTACTGAATATTTAATGAATTATTATTCGAATATTTTATAAAAATTATTTGACGATTAAGAATGAAAGATCTAGCTGTAGGATGAAATTGCCTACAATTTTAGAGATATTTCATCACCAGAGGGGGTTTACCAGGTTGGGTGTGAGGACAAGTACTCACCAATGACAATGGTTGGTGGTCACATTAAAATCACGAATTGGTAGAGATTGGAATTCATAGGCCAGTGACTGAATGGTCTAAGAGCTCGCTTCGTAACCTGAAGGGCTTGGATTCGCATCCTGGTGGGCGCCTACCGGTGGAAAGTCCAAACTAGGACGAAGCAGCTGTCCAATGCTCCCTGATTTTCAATGGTTCCCTAACTGAAGTCAGTTAGTCATCAAACTTGAAACAAATCTGTTTGCGTGTCTAGGCAAATACAATATACCACATCAATAGCAAGAGATTTTAGTAGCCATTATCTCATCAACTTCAAGGACTAGAGAATGTACACTAAACGGTATTAATGTAATTCGACGCATATTTGGCCCATTCTAGAAGTCTACAACCTTATCGATCATTCCATAGTATATTCATAAGGAACAAAATTTCATGAAGCCTCAACAGACTTGGTCGACTTTATTGTCCAGTCCTGACAGAGAGATATATACTGCCTAGTGCGTCGATGGTTCAATTGTAGAATGCTCACCAACAGAGTGCCTGCTTCAGGTGCAATTCTCGCCCGACGCCATATCAAACCTCACTTAGCCGTTAGTAAGCCTGAAATAGAAGGGAGGTTGAGTGTAAAGCTAGCAATCCCACTCCGTAAAACAACCCCACTGCTACTGAGGCTTTAATGCCTCTCGGAACAAAAAGACCAAAAAAAGGTTAGTGACCAGCTATTAGTCCGTTATTTACAACCGTATAATCGATCATAACCTACTTTCACTATTATGAGTGACTGAAATGCAAAATTCCATCAAATTTCTAAGCCTAATCACACGACCTATAACCTCTCAAGGCCTTTGCGGAATGTGACCAGTTCAAGTATATGAATATGCAGCAATGAATTACATACCACTTGATCTCCTATTAAGTTGAATAAACTCAATTAAAAACATATTATATCAACAGGCAGGTAGGTAGGTATAGCTCTGAATTCCTATTAGGAAAGTTATGATAACCAACATTCTTCAAAACAACTGTTAACCTGAACTCCTGTACATACTTCAAAACAAAAAAGAAACTTCTGGTTAGATGAGCGTGTTTTAACAAGTGGTGCTGAAGTGATGTTAAGTAAACTGCTGAATACTTTTATCGGTATGAATAGCTGTACCACAACTAACTGTCTTTGACGACAGATGTTTGCTTTCTATCTCTTGTGTCACGTGGTATAATCCAATGAGCAATAATGAGGTTAGACATAGAGTGTTAGGTAGGGAGAGTAAGTCAATCGATGCGGCTGTAAAGTTAGATCGATTGAGACCGCTAGAACACGTGTTGCGCATCCCAAGCCATCGCCTTTCTAGACGGATAGTGTTAGCCAATTCACGATTGGGTTGAAAAGATTATAGGGGTTGTCAAACCAAAACTTAGTATCAGTCTATGACATTTTTGACAGTTGGTTTAAACTATGTAGGGAGGTGTAGGCTGTCTGGTTGGGGTTCCAGCGATCCTGCTAACCAATGGTTGGAAACAATTAGTAGTATGGCTCAAAATCATTCTCATTGTCACAGTTGCATTCACTCTTTATGATCTCCAATACCTATAAAAGCCTTATGTTTTTCCAATGTTACTACTCTTTCTCTTGCATGTTTCTGAACATCGTCTCATGGTTGTTTCGAATCTCTTTTTTGTTTATCTTTGTGTGTTCCATGGAGTGTAGCAAACTTGAACTGATGCATATCTATATGCAAAGTTCCTCTAGTGAAACTCAGTTAGTTTAGTTAGTTAAATCGATATACTGAAGAAAAGCTTGCACAAAAGTGAATTGGTTCAAATCGCTAGACTTCAAACTGCAAAAAGTAAAGAGAGAACACACGTGCAGAAGTGGTAGACTATAATGTATACACATGAGTATGATGGGGAAGATTTGTAGCTCAGGTGGATGATTTTCATGTGGTTGTGTTCTCTGAGCTGGATAGTTTATTTGCGAAGCTTTCATTGCCCTACTAGGCAACATTTTCAGTGCATACTTCAGTTTGAAGTGAGCTTTTAGATTTCTCCACGAGTTTATTAGTCATCTCTCCTGGTGACCACCTTGAACGTGATTGGTTGTTTTTGTGTGTTTTCACACCCTCTAGGTTACTTGTATTGGTATTGGTGATGATTGTTTCCTTGACTTGAACTTTGACCCTTCGTGTGTGAGATTTCCTTCTTATTGGTTGGTAAAGTTAGTCTATCTCGATGTGTCTATTGATTGATGATTCACTGGAATACCAGACTTCTAAAAGTTCTCTAGCATTCTTGGTGTTTCCTCTGTCTATTATTTGAACGTTGGTTGTCCCAGTCGAATTGATGTCCGTGGTTGTCTATATGTAGTGATATGAAGGAGTGGATGTCATGTCTTTTGATGGCTAGCTTATGTTTATGGATACGAAGACGAAGGGGACGTCCACTTTGGCCAATGTAGTGTTTTCCGCGTTACAATTTATTTTGTAGATATTGTTGGTTTTATCTTCTTTCGTTGTTGAGTTTTTTGGTTGACTTAGAGCCAGTTGAGTGAAGTGATTTTCTTGGTTTGTATGCGACGTCAATTCCTAAAGATTTGAAGAGTCTTGCCGTGATTTCTGAGATGTCCTTTGAAAATTAACTATCCAGCTTAGAGAACACAACCACATTAAAATACACATGAGTGTAAGGTAAGATAAGAAGTATGAATAATGAAGGTATCCCATATTTCAAAGACAATAAAAAGTAAACACATCTACACAAATGTGAAGGATTTTCAGGCATATTACCAAGGGATCTTAAACTGTTCATACATAATGTCTTTATTTTCTTTTTTTACGAGCTTGACCACGGATAGATATCAGTTAGAGAACCATTGAAAACCAGCATAGAGTACTGGACAGCTGTTTCATCCTAGTTTGGGAATCATCGGCTGTACGCACCCATCCGCCACAAGGGTTCGAACCTAGGACCTTCCGGTTACAAGGCAAGCTGGCTCGTTTACCATTCAGCCACTGGGACCCACCCGATTCATTGGGCAGCCCATGAATTCTAACTTATACCAATTCGTGATTTAGCGCAACCACCAACCAATGTCATCGGTGGGCAGTCCATCCTCACACTTGACTGGTTGCACCTCACTGGTCATAACTTCTCACTAAAACTCCAGGAAACTCTGTCCTGTAGCAAGTCACTAGCGTGCGTCAGATTAATTTTCAAGAGTTGGTTTGTAAGGATTAGATTTGTTTTTTTAAATATCAATCCGTGGTCAAACTAGTAAAAACAAAATCAAAACAAATCTAATCCTTATAAACCAACTCTTGAAAAATAATGTCTTTAAACAGACCACTGCTCAGTTAGATAAATCATGCTGTATGTGACCACAAAGTGTATAATTCTGACAGTCAACTAGTAAATGAAACCAACCAACTAACACTTGAATATCAATGAGATGCTCACTAGCGACTTGCCCTATTCAGGTAGGTAGTTACCTGGGGTTCTAGTGAGAAGTCGTGACCAGTGGAGTGCAGCAGGTCGGGTGTGAGGACAAATACTCGCCGAAGACATTGGCTAGGGGTCGCGCTATGTCGTGAATTGGCAGAAGCTGGAATTCATGGACTGGCCATTGGATCGGGTCCCAGTGGCTTAATGGTATACGAGCTCGCCTTGTAACCAGAAGGTCCTGGTTTCGAATCCTGGTGGGTGAGTACTGATGAAGAGTCCTAAACTAGGACGAAACAGCTGTCCAGTACTTCCAGGTTTTCCAATGGTTCTCTAACCAATGTCAGCTCATGATGAAATCCTGTAACCAATCAAATCCCTACAAACCAACACTTGAATAGTAAATGAAGCGTTGAAAAAAAGCATTAAATTACTCATAACAAGAAGCAGACATCATGTATACATACCTGAATCCTTTGAAGGTCCAACAAATAATTTTGCCCGAGTAAGCTTTTTCATTCTACTTCCTGCCCATAGATTATGTATTTCTCTACACGAGTAGACTGTTTCTGTCAGTGAAGGAGAAGAATCATTCTGCAATTCTGCTAATAAATGTCGTACACGTGGTAACCGTTGTGATGGTCTGTAAGAGGCTAAAAATTGACGTCTTTGTGGAAGTGCACTCAATGAGACTAAACTACCCTCTAAAGGAAGATTATGAGGTTTATAAACAGTTAGATTGCCAAACCAATTGGATGAAGGTAATGAATGACTTTCTTGTATGAGATCTGGTGATGTAGGGTGTGTTGTGAGGCGGTAGTATTTGAGGGTAGACTATGTACAATGGATTCTTCATTTTCTTGATCAGCTGGTTCATCACTAGATACATTGTTATTTACAGAACTTTCAGACATGAATGTAACCTGAAAATGTAAACGGTTTAACTTTACTAGAAATTTTCACTTAAATATTAAGAAAACAGACCGTATCAGTGAGGACGTGTGTGTGTGTGTGTTTTCATTTGGTACTTTGTTTCAGGGCTCTGTATTATATAGGTATCATACTCATTATCAAAACACTGATTTCCTGATTGTAAATTAATTAACTACTAGTTTCAAATTGTGAGTTAGTGGTTCAATGACAGACTGCTCACCAACTAAACAGATTGTAAGAGTTCAATTTCTGGAGAACTCACTTTGGAATCTCACCTAGTTTAGTAGTCGACAGTGAGTCGAGCAAAGATTGACGGTTGGGTGTAAGGCTAACAACCCCACCTTGTATAAAGAAAACAATACCACACTACTACTGAAACTTAAAAGCTCGAATCTCTTTGTTCCACTCGGAACTCAAGTGTTTGAAAAATTATGATGGATTCTTAAATATTATTCATTTCCTCTACCACATTTATCTTTAACTTATTATTATTGTTAATATTATTCCCTTGAGTTCCGAGTAGAACATAGGGCTTCAACAACACATCTCCACTTTGTCCTATCTTCTGTCGTTTCTTCAGCTTGGACCAAGATTGCCCACAATTTCTCATCTCCTCCATGTTACCCTCGCACCGACGACCCACTCGTCACTTCCGATTAGCATTGCACTCGAGGAATGACCTGCATTGCGCGCGATGACATTCGACGACCTCCTCAGAGTATGCCAAGTTCATCTCCATTTTGTCCTATATATTTGTCGGCTATCCGTTGGTTTGTTCCCACAGTTTCTTGTTAATGATTTTTTCTGACTGGCCATTTGATCTTCAGTATGGCGCTAGCGAAGGCAACTGTTGATAAAAGTCTGCAACCAGTGAGAAATGCTTTTCGTGACGCACCATGTTTCTGACTCATAAAGAAGAAGTGACTCCACATTGTGTTGAAAATCCGAACCTTGTTCTTTATGCAGGTTGAGTGCAGAAGATTTCTAAACCGATTTCAGATGGCTGAAGGCGTATCTTGCCTTTCCGATTCTGGCCTGCTTTGACATCTTCATCCGTTCAACCAGCCTGTGGTTAAAAGCAATGCTTCCTAGATAGGTGAAGGAAGTGACCTCTTTCAAGTTCCTCCCATTGATAGTGACTGGTACCGGTTATTGCCGCTGTTGGTTGGTTATCGTCATCATCTCCGTCTGCTCCATGTTCACTTGGGGCTCTGTTTTCGCTGCTTCTTCTGCCAGTTTGTTGGTTTTCGCCTGCAAGTTTTCGAGTCTGTGTGACATTAAACATAAATCCCCCGCGAAATCCAGATCTTGTGGAGTCTTCTAGTCGGCCCAACACATTCCTGTCTTACCAATCCCCACAGTCTGACGCACAATCCAGTCCACCAAAATTAGGAATATCATCAGTTGTAATAGGCAGCCAGCTCGTCTTACTTCTGTACTCACTTCGAACGCGTCACTGAGTTTTCCGTTGTGGGTTACCTGACATGTGGCATTGATATATAGCCAGCTGTTGAATGAGATTGATAAAGAGCACTACACGCCGTAGTGTTGAAGCAGTTTCCAAATTACTTCTCGGTCAACGCTGTACCGTCAAAGGCCTTTCCCGAGTCGATGAAGTTGAGGTAGATATAGGTTTGACCATCATTCTATGCTTTTTTCTGTGATGATGATGCGTAAAGTTGCAGTTTGATCAGTATATGATTTGCCTTTCCTGAATCCAGCTTGTTCCGGTGGGGCGGAGTTCTGCATCCAGTGCATCTTTTATTCTATCCAGGATGACGTGACTTAGTATTTTACTTGATGTGGACAAGAGCATTATTCCACGCCAAGTTTTGCAGAGTTCTACTAATTCTATGAATACCTTGAAAACGTAACTATGGGTAATTAACTTATTACCAATGAATTTTTATCTCAACATGTATTGCTTGTTTGAAACTCTCCAGCAGTGTACGACCCCACTAAGGATCGAACCGGTTTTTATGACCTCTGATGGGGTTGTTAATGCACACAGCTGAAGGATCTGAAACAAGTGTTTATTACTGCCTGATAACAGCTTATGACGAAACTGACTTCGAAATTGTTAAATTTTTACAATTCAACAATTAAAAGTCTACACTTTCTATCTATTTTTATGGTTTACATAACCATATAGTAACCACTGACCGGTGTAACTACTGGTCTAATGCACAAACTTGAATCAAACTCATGAGTTTTGAGAAGTAGAATTTAGTACTCACAAATTAAACTCAACACCTCATCGTTTGACGACAATTACGTCATTGGGTATATGATATTATTTTGTTTCAGTATTTAATGCTGCTAACAGCTTTATCAAAATGTGTTTAAACCAGAATTCACAAAATCTCAGCTTATATACAGTAACTCAATCACACTTCTCCAGCATAAAGTAAGTTTTACGTTGTCTAGTGAGTTAAATGATAAAGATAACAAAACACGTGGAGACTGTTCGATTTGCTAAATCTATGAATTATAAAACCAGAATGTATTACATAACGAAAACGCTTTTCACATTTGTGTTGATTCCGTCACTTCATGGGTGGGTGGGTGGGTGTAGGTACCAGGTCCAATTCTATTTTAATCTGTCATTCCTCTCCAGACATTATGGATCCCATTTAATATGAAGTGCTTCTGATATGATACGTCCTTTTAGACTCTTGAAATCCTTCCGGATGACTTCAACATTGTCAAAAGCAGTATTGTGTCCTGATTCTGTAGCATATCAGACCTATGGCTGGTGATTTTCCAAGCTTCTCCAGTGCCACTTTATTCCTCAGTGGTGGAATAGAAGCTCTGCGGGTGTTCATTTCTTCTGATCTTGATTTCCAGTGAAGTTTGTCCGATATATATATATATATCGCATCACATTCTAAGCATTTTATTTTAGAGACACAGTTAGATTATGAATTCTTTGAAATTAAAACCTTTCACAAGGACAAGATAACCTTTCAGTGTGTCTGGAGCTTTAATGAAAACTGAAATGTATTTGTTGATCGCCCTTCTGATATCGTCTGAAATATTTTATTTATATAGAACTACTGTTGTTGCAGTTTATGTCTTCAGAATACGTTTTCCGCCATGTTTAATATTGCTGTTGACTTTGTTAATGAAATTAAAGCAGAGTAAAAATTACTTCATACTGAAGAACTGTGATTAATTTAATGCATATAAGCTGGGATTTAGTCAATTCTGGCTTACTAACATTTTTGCAAGGCTATTAGTAGCATGAAATAGTGAAATGTCAGTAAAAAGCAATATCGTTTTGTAGTTTCATTTTTTGGGAATACAAAAACTTTTATAGTAATGTCATAATGAAACTCTACCCAGAATAGGTGAGAAACTCTTCGGAACTGAAGTGAAAACAATAGCAGTTTAACTTTACAAAAACAAAGATTTTAGTAAGTAGTATGCTCAACTTTAAACAAATCCTTGGATGGTATTACTGTGATTTTAAGTAATATAAACAATATAAAGTACAGAGTTTTATTTGAAGTCAACTATTGCGAATAGATCTTTCGTGCACCAGGATATGAACCACACCTATCATGTGTCAAGGTGATGCTACTGTAGTAGATAGGGATGGATTTGAATCCAGGACCTACTGGCTGAAAATCTAATGTCTGAGCCAATGAACCACATTTCCAGTACAGAAGTATGGTGTAGCAGCTGATAAATCTCCAAAGAAGCTAAGTTATATTTTTTTCAATCTCTAATATGAGTTATAGATTTTATACATGGAAATTTAAAAGACTTAACCCATTGTCTAAATACTAGTCTACAGCTTATTAACAGCTAGTGGATGGATATCCTAAAGCTGCACTGAGCCGTGGCCGGTGGGATCAACCATGTCAAGACGAAGTGCATGCATTGCTTGAGAACAGGGCTATGTTACAAATTAACACAAGTTAGAATTCTCAGGCCATTGAATTTCAGCCAAAGCAACTGAATGATCAACGAGCTTGGCCTCAGGAGCTGAAGGTTCCGATCCTTGGTAGGATCATGGGTGTACACTGCTGAAAAGTCCCACTAAGACTAGGACGAAATAGTTGCCTAGTGCTACGCAGTTCTTAATGATCTCTAACTGATGTTAGTTAATAAATTAAATCTACATTGAGAATAATTTTTCTTAAAATAAATAACTTACTTTATTCAACTGTCCAACTAATAAACCTCCAGCACTGGAGCTATTCTGATCTACAACAGTAGGTGAAATATATTGTAATCCTAAGACAGGTGCATCATTATTCGGTATAAATAAGGTGTCTAAAGGACCTGTAGTCACACGTATATCATATAATAAAATGGAACCATTTGCACAACCAGCGAATAATCTATTCGAATCTGTTGCCCAACAACAACTCCATACACCTGCTGGACATTGATAAGTTTGAACAACCTGAAAATACAGTATAAATAGATAGCAATCAACAGTATAAAAAGAAGACAAAATGCACGATTTCTAGACCTTTTGCAAAAAGTCACTCGTTAAATTGTGGTGTGTACTACAGACAACAATTCATAAGTGATGTATCAATGAAGAAGTCTTCTGGAAAAATCTTGAATTGCGGGGCGAGGAACATTAAATTGCAAAGAAGAGAAATGAAAAAAATATTTTTTGAAGCACTATAGAAACCATGAAATAAAGATAAAAGAAGAATAAGAATTCGAATACTTTTTGCGATTTGAAATTTCAATGTAAGATCTTCATATTTTGCTTAATGAACACAACTCTGTTGACAAATTTAATTTAACTAATTTTTTGATACAAGTATGGAATTTTCAGCATGTGATATCGGTAGCCCAAATTTAGCAGGCCAACTATTGGTATCAGGTGTGCGTCGGCCGGGGATCGAACCCCAGAACCATGTGCATGATCGGCGAGCGTCCTAACCGCTGTGCCACCGACCATAATTTAAGTAGTTCCATCTAGATGATTTTAGAACACGATTTAAGCAAGCAAATATGCATTTTCGGTATATTCTCATCAGGCTTCACAATTACATAACAAAATATCAGTCACAGCCATTTAAAACAATGTGGAACAATAGATTCAAATACAATCAAGCAGAATGTAAGTAGCATATGTGTAAAACTTGGGCACTGTGGTAGTAAGTAATTCCGTATTAGTTTGTTTATTAGACATATCACACAGTGAAACAGTATTATTTACTGGATGACGTTTCGAACAAAATTTATTGTTCATAATCATATCAATTGTAATCACACGACTTCGAAACTTGACTTTTATAGTTTTCTTTGTTTTCTCCTATTTGTCGTAGGGGTAGTAGAATTTTCCAGATATCGGGGACAGGTGATGAATCATTCCTATTACATGTATTTGCAGTTGATGTAAGTAGAATAATAATAACGATAATAATAAATTGTGAAACTAAGATTAAATAATGCACCTGTAGCACAGTATGATATTGATAATGCAGTTAACAGTACTGTAACGGTAGAAGACGAAAGAATTAACAGCGGAATGTTTATTTGGAGTTTGATATGGCTATGTGGGGAAATTATGTACACCTTATCTGAAAATCGTCATTCTCACAGATCGTCCGTATTGTGTTTCTTTGTCTTCGTGTCTCCCATGTTTTGCCGTAGCACTGGTTCATTCGTCAAGTCTATCACTCCGCTATTTGATATCCTTGTGCTGGTAAACATCTCTTTGGATAATACTTCTGGTTAAAAGGCTAGCGAGCTCGTAGACCATTAGGCTACTGGGAACTGACTCAATGGCAAGCCCATAGATTCCAACTTCTGTCAGTTCATGATATGGTGCGACCGCTAGCGAATGTCATCCGTGGCGAGTATTCATCTCCACATCCTATCTGCTATACTCTATTGGTCACGAATTTCCACTAGAACCTACCTGAATAGAGCCAATCGCTAGTGAGGATCTCATTCCCTTTATCTGTGTAGTACTATAACAGCAGAATATAGCGGTATTTTAGAACACGATTTAAGCAAGCGAATAAGTATTTTACGTAAATTCATATCAGGCTTTAGAATTACATATTACAAAATATCAGTCACAGCCATTTAAAACAATGTGGAACAATAGATTCAAATACAATCAAGCAGAATGTAAGAAGAATGATAATAATAATGATAAATTGTGACACTAAGATTAAATAATGCATTTGTAGCACAATACAATATTGATAATGCAGTTAGCAGTATAAGTAAAAATAATATTTACAGTTATCTGGTATCACCAGGGTAACTATTCTAGGTTGGGATTGAAGGCCATGGTAAGGACAGGGATCGATCAAACTTCTTCTTAAAACAAAACTGGGCTGAAATTTTTTATATGGCAACTACCTCAGCTGTGCTTAGTTAGCAATCGAAGGTGTACAAGGATAGGCGATTGAGATAGTACCTTGTATAGAATTGTAAAGTCTGAATTTTTATCAATCTTATAGTCCGTATCCAAAAAGTCATGCCAATATGGAACTCCTAATTGACTTTACAACTCCTTTACCTACCCACATTGGATAATGCTCAAGAAGGCAAGGGTGGGCTTTTCGAGTCGTCCTACTTATGTAGGTGTCTCCAAAGGAATAGTTAAATTTATAAATGCACACTGAAGTGGCCAAACTCGATAGTATATCCTTCACCTGTATTGGAATCATAGAACGAGTGGTAAATTTTAAACATAGTGTTGTAGCAAAGAATGTTTTAGCTATTATTTTTCGGAGTTCCAGGATCAGTAATTCAGTAACTGTGTCTCTTTTGAACGGTGAATTCACAGGTATATATATATATATATACGTTTCTTCTGTACAGTTTGCACAGGCGTTTCTCTATATCTGTTCTCATCATGGAGATTTTAACGAATTTTTCTGGATATCTGTTCTCATTTATTAAGTTTTCTGGTTTCCTTATTTCATTGTCAATTGTTCAGATTGTTCGAGCTATAAACATTACTTTCATTTGTACTGCTAACTGCATTATCAATATCGTTCTGTGCTACAGATGCATTATTTAATCTTAGTGTCGGCGAGGACGCTGACAAAATGCAGAGTCTTCTGAACACCTTGAGCAGCAATCTTCGTATGTTTGGCATGCGATTCGCCCCTGTAAAATGCAAGATGATGTTACAGGATTGGACTACACCGACTCCTAGATTAGAAATAGGAGGTGAAGTGGTAGAGCACGTTGACCGCTTCACTTACTTGGGAAGTACCATCAGCCCCAACGGGCTGGTCTCTGACGAAATCTCAGCACAGATACAGAGGGCTAGTTCCGCATATGCCAGTTTACGCCGTCTCGGGCTTAGTAGACGTGATATCTGACTATCGACCAAAGGGTGTGTGTACTGCTCAGCAGTCTGGTCCGTCCTCCTTTATGGCTGTAAGACCTGGCCTTTGAGAGTGTAAGACATGAAAAGATTAGCTGTCTTTGATCATAGGTGTCTGCCTTTATCTCCCGTGTGAAGTGGTATAATAAGGTGAGCAATATTCAGGTTAGGCATCGAGTGCTAGGTAAGGAGGGGAAATCAATAGACGAGGCTGTGAAATTACATCGACTGAGATGGTTAGGACATGTGTTAGGCACGCATGTCTAGTCATCGCCTTCCTCGACAATGGGCAATGTTAGCTGATATAGGGTCAGGCTGGAAAAGGACTAGCGGCGGTCAAACGAAAACATGGCACCAGTCAATGAAATCTACAACGGTTAGTCTAGGCCACGTAGGAAGGTGCAAACTTCTTGGTTGGGATCCTCGAGACGGTAAAAACCGATGGTTGGAAAAAATTGGTGACATGGCTGAAAGTGGTCGTTCTCAATGGTTGACGCAGATGCATCCACTCCCTGTGACTTATGATTTCCAACTAAACTGTTTTGTTCTTCGTTATTACTATTCCTTTGTCTCACACCTCTGCTTACTGTCTCTAGTATGCATTTCTCCTACTTTCTTCTCTTGCTTTGTGTGCTACATGGAGGGAGTGTGGCGACTTGAACTGCCGCACATATGTGCAAAGTTCTATGTCGAAAACAGACAACAGACAGACAGTGTCACAACTTATTATTATTATTATCATTCTACTTACATTCTGCTTGAATTTATTTGAATCTATTGTTCCACATTGTTTTATAAATGGCTGTGACTGATATTTCATTATATGTGATTGTAAAGCCTGATGAGAATTTACCGAAAATACATATTTGCTTGCTTAAATCGTGTTCTAAAATACCACTACATTCTGCCATTACAGAACTATACATCTAAAGTAAATGAATTATTTGTTGTCTCAGTCAGACTGACCTCACTAAAACTGATAATATGATGAATAGAACGCAGAGAAATTACCACCATCTTTCAGATAACCCTAACCATAACGTTAATGTAAAAGCAAAGTTGTCAAAGAAAGCACCAGTGTTACAGGACAGACTGTTAAAAAATTTCATCAGCATCAAAGTTACACGGACACAATGTTAATCAATTTTACTAGAAAGAAAATTCAAAATGCAAACAAACTACCGAGATTATTTCCTAATTCAATGATTAGATCTTCAAACAAGTAAGAGAAGTACCATCTATGCAATGAGTGATATCTGGTCTAGTAGCTATAATAAACAGAACTTAAATTAATATTGCTGCCTAAAATGAAGTAAAGACTATGGATTCACTAGGTAGACAAAACCTTCGTCACGTTAAAGAATCCAATGGAAAGCTCCTAACAGGGAGCATTATAGAAGAAGAGACGGTTAATTGATCTTCTTGGAATCAGAGACTCAAATCTACAGAGATACAACCAATTCATCAGCTATAAAAGAGCTGTATGACAAAGTCATTCACAACAGCAATAAAAGAATTGAAAACGAGGGAAACAGAGCGGTTTTTTCAAACTGTTGTAACTTAAGCAATCACCAGATATTAACAAACAAAGGAATCGTACTACTACACATGTTTTAGGAGTGTCTGAAAGATTGTACAAACTATTGGGGATTTCACAGTTCCGCGAAATTTATCCAAAGTTCAAGAAGGATAAATTAAATGTCTTTTACACGACCAACTGAATTGAATGTAACCACTATTAATATTAAACAAACTAGTGGAAATTATATGTAGTAGGATACTGTTGATTTTACTAAATGTCAATAAATATTACCATCTATTTTATCAAGGAAAGTCCTCTATGATTTCAAGCTAGGCTAATTCTACAACAGCAAAAGACAGACTGACTGACTGATTGAGTTTCAAAATAGAACTCAGCACCAAAGTGAAAAAGTTCAAGTTGCCCCATTCCATGTAGCACACAAAAGTGGATAAACAAGAGGAAAAAGAAGGGACTGAAAAGTTCTATAATAAGCAAAAGTGTGAGAGGGAAGATAAAATACTCACATGAAAAATATGACGGTTTAGTGGATACAGGAGATCACAAAGGGCTATTGCAACTATGCCATTGTGAAAGATTTCGAGTCATATCATCAATAGTCTCTAGCCATTGGTCATTAGGATCCTGACCTGCACCTTCTCAAATAGCTCAAACTAACTGTCAGACACTTCATGGACTGATGACAGAGGTTTTGGTTTGACCAAATCTAACTCTTCCTCGACCTAATGCTCTGTCCGCTAACATTGCCCATCGAGGAGGGCGACGGTTCAGCATTCGTACAATGTGTCCTAGCCATCTCAATAGATGTGTAGCTTCACAACCTCATCGATTGACTGGTACTCCTTACCCTGCACTTTACGCCTAACCTAAACATTACTCACCATACACTAAACGACTTAACACAGACACTTATGATCAAAGAAAACTAGCCTATTCACATCTTCAACTTTCACTGTCCATGTCTCACAAACATTAAGGAGGAAACAGGGAAGCAGTAGAGTAGTAAACAAGTCCTTTAATCGATAGTCGGATATTACGTCTATGCTAGAGATGACGTAGGTTGGCAAATGCCACACAAGCCAGTCACCGAAACTTGAGCATTTTGACAAATCTTAAACATACCTTTCGTATTCCAGCTGAAAATTTGAAGCGTTAATGTGACTTATCTAATAAATGAAGTGACCAACCTATTTAACAGCATCACCTTCCATCCTTAAACTAAGAGTCAGTGCAGATCAGTTCAATAACACAGTAGGTGAAGCAGATATTACAACTAAGAAGAAAATTTCATCTGAAATAACTGTGAAGACTACTTGTAACAAGCTAAAAAGAAAAGAATGGTATAATATGATGAAGGTGCCTTATGCCAGGCTCTAGCGAAACTCCATAAATCCAAGGAGCAGCAGTTTAGACTAAAGAATATAATCACACCGATGACAATCAAAATGTAGCCGAATTTAGGAAACATTTTATTTCTTCACGTCTTATATTTTCAAAAGTCTAGCACTGAAGTTAATGTATAAGATGAGATTTTGAAGAGAAGCGATAGTGAAATTACATTTTTTACTGGTTTCAAGAGATCCACTGCAAACATACAAACCCATTACATACAACAATTCATCAACAACTGAGACAAAATCAACTGTTAACATGCCTTTCCGACATGTCAATGTACAGCCCAATTTAATATATGATGCTAAAGGAATGTTAAAAACTTTTGAAGAATTAGTTTGTAGGAGATTGATTTTTTTCAAGCGTGATCACGAACTGACGTCAGTTCGAGATCCATTGAAAATCATCAGTCTATGATCAAAATTGAAATTACCATCAAATCCCTACAAATTAACTCTTGAAAATTAATCTTAGGCTCGCTAGATAGACTGGATACAGGACGAAGTTCCCTCGAGTTCTGGTGAGAAGTTGTGGCCAGTGGGTTTAACCAGGTCGGTTGTGAGGAAGAATACTCGCCACGGATGACATTGGTTGGTGTTAGCCCTAAACTCAAGAATTGGTAGAAATTGGAATTCATGGGCCGTCAGATCGGATCCCAGTAGTTATATGGTCTACGAGCTTACCTTGTGACCAGGAGGTCCTGGGGGTTAGAACCTTGTTGGCAGGTGTCTGCTGTGAAGAGTCCCAAACTAAGACGAAACGGCTGTTCAGTACTCCCTCCTGGTATCCAGTGATTTCCTAACTGACATTAAATCATGATGAAACTTTAAAAAAATCTTTGAAGCCACAGAGAATCACATTCGTTTTTGCAAATTACACAACTTCGAGGTGTGAACTCACAACAATTTATTTGGGAAATAAAAAAATATTCAGATCATATCATGTGATCTGCTTGATTATATAAGTAGCAACTGAGAAAGTGAGTGAAATAGCGTGATGATATATACTACTGATTGATTAATGTGAGTAGTTGGAAATCATTCACATCAGCTGGAGTGCTGTCGAAGCAACTTTCAACAGTTCATTCATACAAGGAAGATTTTACCAACCACAAGTTAGTGTTTTGAAACGGGAAAAAGCATTCAATAATACAATCATATATTCCTCTAAGAACATAAAAATTAAAGATTGACAATGTGATAAAACAAATCCAACTTACTGTATCATTTAATAAACTAGTAAGACGTAAAGTTTTATCAAGACTTGCACTAGCAACAATACCATCTTGAGCTTCAGGATGAAAGGCTAAATCTCTTATTGGTTGGGTATGTAAATGAACATATTTTATAAGTCTTTGTTCAGCACTATTCACCTGATAAAAGGAGAGAGAGAGAGAGAGAGAAAATAAACGCTGAAATTGAACTTGCTCAAAAAAAGCGAAAAAAATATATATACAATATTAATAAACCTTGATTATGTATAACAATTTAAGAAACACAATTAAACAATCTAGCATAAATCTGTGTGTAAGCGCTTAGGTTTTACCCTATCTGAGAATTTTTATTAGCCCTGATAAATCCATGGCTACGGAGGCCTCATCAGGGATACACATACGACTAAACTCATTTATCTTGCAGTCAAATTGAATTACTTATACAGTACACGAAAGATATCAAATAATTAATTAAGAATGGGGCGTTTTGAACACTAGTGAATTTTATTCTGCTGTAGGACTGCAAAAAGTGGCCGTTAGTCATGTAAGGAGTTTAGCTATTCAACCATTGTCATCTTCGTCGTACCGTCTGCAACTCATAGATTAGACGGTTGGGGATAATCGGCAGGAAGCCTTCGACCTAGGTTTCATGGTTGTTGGCACTCGTCACCAAGGTGTATTTGTAATCTTGAAAGGACTCATGTCCCCTCTGAGATTCGAACCCATGTTATCCAATGCTGTAGTTATAGACATTATCAGTGAACTGTCCTGGTTCGCGACTGACCTTCTGTAGGACTGTAATGGATACTTTGATTGACCACTAGGCAGTAACCAACGTCATGCAACTAGTCCTTGATTTAGTGGTGTGTAATAATAATTCCAACGAATGCAGTTCAGTGAAAAACTGTGCCTTGGTCAATCAGTCTAAATCAAGTCACATTAATGCAAACCATCTTGGACATAAGTGTGACTAATCAGCTTCAATTTCTTAGGTCTAAACAATTCATGAGAGCATCTAATTAATGAAAATTCTTTCAAGTAAAAAGAAATACTTAAACAAAAGGATGAGTACATAAGTTATCCCCAGAACAAATTTACTTCCCTTTCGTCTCCGCCTACTTGAATGCATAGAACGGAGCCGGTCAATTACGATTTGAATTTCTTCAGATAGTTGGTTTTGTGTGGTTTTGTATAACCTGCTTAGAGGACTGCTGTAATCATATCAGATGTTACGTTTAGCTGTTTTAAAGATTTTATATCAAACCTTTTACACAGCTGGAAAAGCTGTTGTGGCGTTTGTTAGGCTGCGCGCGAAAACACCTAGCGATTCCTTTTATCTTCACCTTAGACGACAATGACTACGCTTAATGAAGCGAACCAATACACTAAGAAAACGTTACAGCCTACTAACCAATTAACTTATGTGAAACAATATAAAATTGATTTTCGCGAGAAACCAAATATCCTCGCTTGCTCTGGAATTGAACTAAAAAAATGATGACTAACATGTAAGAAGAATAAATAATGTTCCAGGATTTTATCATGAACTGACATCGGTTAGAAGACCATTGGAAAACCACGTGGGAGCACTGGACAGCCGCTTAGTCGTAGTTTTGGAATCTTCAGCAGTACACACCTAATGAGGTTAGAACTCAGAAGGTTCTGGTTACAAGGCTAGCGAGCTCGTAGAGCATTAAGCCACTGGGATTCGATCCAATGGCCAGTCCATGAATTCCGACTTTTGCCAATTCATGATACGGTGCGACCACTACTTCTAGTGGGAAGTCGTGACCAGTAAGGTAGAGCAGGTCGGGTGTGAGGACAGATACTCGCCACGGATGACATTCTCTAGTGGTCGCGCTATGCCGTGAATTGGCGGAAGCTGGAATTAATGGACCATTGGATCGGGGTCCTAGTGGCTTAGTGGTCTACAAGCTCGCCTTGTAACCAGAAGGTTCTGGGTTTGAACCTCAGTGGGTGCGTATTGCTGAAGAGTCCCAGACTGAGATGAAGCGGCTGTCCAGTACTCCCAGGTGGTTTTCCAATGGTCCTCTAACCGATGTAAGTTCATGGCAAAATCCTGAAGCCAACCAAATCCCTGCAAACCAACACTTAAATAATGTTCTCCTATGTCACATTACTGAACCAGCATTTGAAATGTTGAGAAACTATTGATATCATAAAAAAAACAGATATATGCCAGTTGTTTTTATTTGTTTAGTCTCTGTTGACATTTCAACTCCTAGTATGGACGTTTCAACAATTCCTTAAGACTAACATGATGTTATTTCATTGACAGTGGCCAGCAGTAGAATCCAGGATGCGAGTAACGTTCTACTTAGGACCCTTCAGTTGGGTGTATCTGTATCCCCGATGAGTGGTGGTGTTTCATCGTTTCAAACAACAAAGAGTTATGTACTAGGACACTCTGTGTGTCAATTGACCTTAACAATTCATATCAACATGTTATGTTGGGGACTTGATTTGTCTAAATTTACATCACTGAACTTTATCTTATCTAACAAATGATTTTAATTTCGCAAAGCTGTTTAGATTTTAAGTGCTATGATCATATACATAAGTTACGGGTAGTTATAAGGCACATCACCATTTATATTATGACAGAAAAGGTGTTTACAACGATCGATTCATAGTCAAATTAGCCAGACAAGATTTCAAACAGGATGCTAACAGTTAAATAGAATAGAAGAAGTGTTGAATACAATGTTAACTTCTTACTAATACTTACCTTACGTATACCAAATCCTCGAAATATAGGATTGGTTGACGACTGTGAAACACACAAGGTATTCAGGTAATCACATGATGCCATTACACGACAATTACCATCCTACAATATCACAAAGAAGACAAAAATATGTAAAAGTGTAACTATCAAAATCATGATTAACAGAAGGCAATTCAGAGTGAACAATTGCATAACTACAACAAAACAGTGAAAAGAGAAACACACTGTTAATATCATACATATATGTTAGACTATCCAACAACAACACATAGATCAGTTTTACACCCATATGATGAAACAGAAACATAACTCTTAGATCACCGAAAATACCCATTGAGTCATGAAGAAAATAAAAGACAAATTCAGAGAAGAAAATTTTCTTTATCGACGAAATCATCTTCAGAGGCTGTACTGTACAGTCGTATTTATATTTACCAAAAATGTATAGTAGTCTATTATTGAGTAATAGGGGGGGGGGTGACATAAGTGATATAATTACTCAGAAGTGGCTTTAGAAGTAAAAAATAAAAGTTGTAAATTACGTAGTACTCAACGACACAAAGGAAGAAATGGTTAGAAATTTGATAAGGTTAAAATTGCTATTGAGTGAGAATAAAGGTTGAGTGTCAATTTAACAAGTGTGAAGAGGGTGTGAAAATGTACAAAAGGAACATGTGAGAGTGATAATAGTGAATTAATTACTAAAATAAAAGCAAACTAAAAGTAAATTGTTTTTTCCAGGGAACGACTAGTGAAGAGGTTAAGACCATGGTAGAATAAGAGACTGGACAAACTTTTTCTGTATACAGAGTTCGGGGTTGTATGGACGAATTGCCAGCGCCTCCGCCATACACCGAAAGCCGAAACCTGACGGCTTTTGTACTATTTGGTCTCAGCTCTTAGATGGTCTTGAAAGACGACTCTGGTGGAGCTAAGTGGCTTGAGCCAGTAATTCCCTTGCATTGTTCTTTTGCTAACCATGCCAGATAATGTTTAGAGATGAGTTTGGAAAGTGTGCGCTTTGTGCGGTCAATATAACTAGCTCCACACGAGCAGGTGAATTTATGAACACACGTTGAAGTGGTCCAAAGAGGCAGTTTATCCTTCACATATCCATTGGTCATTTGTAGACTGTAGAAATTGATATGTAGCTCAGCCATAAAGAAGGCTTTCCTCAATCATCTGCATAAGCGATTCTTCAGGATCTCAGCTGCGGTATCACCTTTAAATTCAACACTCATAAACAGCAGTTTCTTCGGCACCGTCTATATTCTTTCAGGTTTTTCCCTTGGCTTCATGTTTTTCTCGATAAATCTTGAAGGATATCCATTCTCTGTGAGGACTTGTCTGAGTCGCTTCAGTTCCCCAACGATTGTATCACTTGAACATATCCTCCTCATTCTTGAGGATAAGGAATGAATCAGATTCCTCTTTCTTCTCAAAGGGACCCAGCTATGGAAATTTATGTACTGACCATTCCATGTTGGTTTCCTGTAGATCGATCTTTGAAGAGAACCATCAGGTCTCCTCTTTAGAAGAAAACATCCAAAAAATGGAATTCCAAGTTAATCTCCCAACTCTTATAAAAAGAAAGTACTCAGAGAAGAGTTGGGAGAAGAACAACTGATAACCATTTTCATTTCCACTGTAAAACTTCTTCACAAAACATACAACTCGATTGTTTACACTTAGATTTTATGGTGAGCCTGTCGCTATCAAGCAAACATATTGAATTTCAACAGACAAAGTCGTCAAGCTCATTTCTGACTAGGTAATGTCTAGCTAGAAATGAATTGAGTACTGATATATTTATTGTTATAACGGTAGAACACGTTAGCGTTTGGTAGCGGACCGTTGTCTTTTGGAAAAATTCAGAAACTTTATATTGAAATCTTTATTTGTACATGATCTTTGTATGGTGCTTCTTTAGTTTTTTTTTCATGCTTTCTCTATGTTGTTTCACAAGGATCTTTGATTTACCCTTTATGCAACTGAATCCATCGCCTGGCTATTCAATATTCTTACAGAAGACATCACACACAATACTGGTCAGTAGCCCACGCTACACTGTTTTTAAGATAACTGTTAGCTCTCTGTTCTTATTTAGAACTCAATTACCCGGAAGAGATGTCTTATTCATGTTCCAGGTTATGAGCCACACGTGTTACGTGACAACTGATGATGCTGTCTACTTATCCAGGTTGAAGTAGGTTTGACAGTCTAATGTTAAATGTGTCCAATCTCACAAACATTCCTCAAAACGTCATCCCGGCAAATACTTTCCAATTTTTATATGATCAAATGTAGACAGTCCACTATATGGGGATGAATTGCGATAATCTAAACCTTTTTGCAGAAATCAGAGAGTAATTTCAGATATTTACTTAAGTCACTAGTGATTGAATACACGACGAAATTGCCTGGAGTTCTACTGAGAAGTTGGATCCACCAGGTCGGCGGCGATATTCGCTGGTTGTGGAGATAAAGTCGAAAATTGACAGAAGTTAGAACTGATTGGCTATTAGACTCCATCCCAGTGACTGAAGAGTTAGAGGATACATTCCGTAACCGGAAAGTCCTGCGTTTAATCACCAGAGGGGGAGGGTTATGGGTGTGTATTGCTGAGAGTCCTGAAACTGGGACGCAACAGCTGTGCAGTACTCTTTGGGTTTTAATGGTCCCTCCCCCACCCCACAACCTGACATTAATCCATGGTCAAACTTCAAACCAATCAAATCCCTACAAACTAAAACTTGCAAGTTTACTAAATAGTTTGATTTTTTTGCTATATTACAGTTAGCAGCTCATGAAAAACAATCGATTTAAACAGACTGTGAGTTACAATTACACGATTAACAAGTTGTACTTAGCAAACCTCCATATTACTGACTGAAATGATGAAGAACCGACACAAATATATGCAAACTGAAGCATCACTCGACAAAAGGTGTACACATTTACCCTATTCCCTCTTAGTTATGTTACATGTTGTCTATAATTATGAGCTTTATAAATTTACAGTTTATGTACAAACTTGAATTAAATGAACTTTACTGAAGCTTCATCATCCTATTTTTATCTCAGTTGATATCAGACAATGAAGAAGGTGCATTTTCTAGTATCATGAAATCTGAACAAAGAAAGAAGAAACATTGGTGCAGAATAATCTGGATCCATTTTATTTCGTTGGTTCTCATCAGCTGCGTACAACCTGAATTCTTTAATAAAATAAAAAAGTGTACAATTTTAACAAACCTTTGTCCATTAGCAAGCATACTGTCAGAGCGTCATGGTGAAATAAGGCGTTGCAATTTACAGGGTGTCTAAGGTGTTACGACTTATATATATATATATATATCTTGTTAGAGAGAAGTTTCTTGAAAAAATAAATTAATTAACAGTTGTGTTGTTGGGGTGGTAACAAAAGATAATTAGTAATAGTTACATAATTAGATAAGAGAAGATCAAAATTTTAAAATTTCGGTGCACATGAGGTCAGATGAGAAGTTGATGATGTAATACAGTGAGCAGAACGCAGAAGATCAAGAAAAATTATCTCTTAAAAAAGTCAAGCGAAAAATAAAGGGTGGGGGAGTGAAAAGATAAGTTAACAAAATTAGAAAACAAAGAGTTACTAAGAGGTGAGTCACCAGGGTAATTGAAGTCCAACAACGGATTCTTTTTGGACACATAAGTCAGGCTTCAATCGTTTTATTGCTATAGCTTCAGCAAACCTGAGAAGACTTGAGGTACTTTGTCTGTTAATTATTTTGAATGATTCCAGCACATCTACTCGGTGTCCTGTGTCAATCAGGTGTTTGGCGATTGAAGAGCTTAAACAATTCGGTCCTTTTAACCGGAGGCTCCTTGGTACATGTTCGCAGAATCTGACGTAGGCCCTCCTCTCTGTTCTTCCAATGTAAGTGCTCCTGCAGATGCATGTGAATTGGTATACACAGTTGGAGGTAACATGTGAGGGGTACTTGCCAATCTTTAACTGCACCATTGAAGAGGTTGTTCGGCATAGAAAGAATAATAACGTTGCAGGAGACGTCCTAGACAGGGCTGCGCTTAATCTTTTATTTACCATTCTCATAATGTCGTCACCCTTGTAGTCGAGTTTGATGAAAATAGGCTTCTAAATGACTAGCTGTATCAAGCTTCTTGAGTTCATTCTTGCCATATTTGTTAATAAAACTTTGTGGGTAACCATTTTCTTTCAAGAGAATATGTTCACTAAGCAAACTAGACAGTGAACTAATGCTTCTTGTGTGCAAAAAGAATCCGTTGTTGGACTTCAATTACCCTGGTGACTCACTTCGTAGTAACTCTTTGTTTTCTAATTTTGTTAACTTATCTTTTCACTCCCCCACCCTTTATTTTTCGCTTGACTTTTTTAAGAGATAATTTTTCTTGATCTTCTGCGTTCTGCTCACTGTATTACATCATCAACTTCTCATCTGACCTCATGTGCACCGAAATTTTAAAATTTTGATCTTCTCTTATCTAATTATGTAACTATTACTAATTATCTTTTGTTACCACTCCAACAACACAACTGTTAATTAATTTATTTTTTCAAGAAACTTCTCTCTAACAAGATATATATATATATATATATATAAGTCGTAACACCTTAGACACCCTGTAAATTGCAACGCCTTATTTCACCATGACGCTCTGACAGTATGCTTGCTAATGGACAAAGGTTTGTTAAAATTGTACACTTTTTTATTTTATTAAAGAATTCAGGTTGTACGCAGCTGATGAGAACCAACGAAATAAAATGGATCCAGATTATTCTGCGCCAATGTTTCTTCTTTGTTTGTTCAAATTTATAAAAGGGACTCAGTGTATGAAAATCGTGAAATCTATTGGTTAATATTTTTCATACTATGCGATATGAATTTTGTGTTTGACTAGTGAAACCACCACCCACATATCACCTTACCAACATTTAATCGGGTTGTAAAACTTCAATAAATGTTTCAATAATGCTCAAAAATAAAAAGATACAGACCATATTAAAACTACAAATAACTACTAACAACTGTTTTTCTACCTGAGCATAAATAAACTTTGGTGAGGCACCGGTTTTACACCTCCTTAGTAAAGGCGTAAACGGAAACTTAGGACCAAGTCACCAATCCTTGTTGGAGTCGACTTTTGGAGAATTAACAACTCACCACAAATGTAAATCAGTCAGCAAAAACGCTACAATGAAAGTATATAGGACAATGCTTTTGCTGCTAAAAGGAACACACAAGCTTAGTTTAGATTAAAGCCCTAACTACATTCTAACGGGTTCCTTTGTTTATATTAATAATACACAGGCACCAAACATAGATATCTATGCACCAGATTATGAGTAGACATTGGATAAAAGTAAGTCGTAATCTGAATTAGTTCGAAAAGGAAAGTACTCGTTAACCGATATGTAACTAAGAAGTTTCTATTAATCACTTTCATTATCCTCTCTCATGCTCGCCAACCACGCAGATTATTCTGGGTTCAATTTCCCACCTGTCTATTAACGAATGGAAAGTTGAGCGTGAGATCAGCAAGCTCACCCCGTAAAAATAAAACTCCACTGCTACTGAAACTTTAGAGCTGAAGGCTAGAAGCTCTATGTTCTACGCGGAATGTAAAGAAATAAAAAAAAGATTCTCTTTCGAAAAAAAAACTTGAACATTTAACCTGAGTATTAAAGTGCTTAACCTGGAATGCGATTGATGTCACTCGGTTTTCGGTGGAACTCATCCCTAATTACATTTCCTTCAAACTATTAAAAACCCAAAGACTGGTGTTACTTAAAAAATAAAGGCTTGCACAACGTCGACACCAACAAAGTAGATCAGTGATGTTATACAGTGTACTTGTTAATCTAGTTTACGATAGAAAGGAAGATTGAAGTGACCTAAACGCTGAGTAGTTGTTTCGCTTGTTTGGGAGCAAGCTCGCTAGAAATGTAATCTCAGCTAGACTCCGCTCACAGTCAATTAGTGGCAAACCACTTGCATGTCGGTAAATGACAAAATCGACCCACAAGAAAGACGAAAGTGATGAAACGTGAGATTTCTCTCTCTATGCAGCTATGGGAAGTTAGTGACAGAAATTATTGGAGATTATTAGTCCAAGCTTGTGACTGTTCATTAGACACAGATGAATCAAAATAACACTTATTAAGGATAAAGAAAACTCACCGCAGAAATCAAGAAGGTATTTATCAGTTCGTACTGACCATTCGAAACGGATTGAAGAGAACCTTCAGAGCTGAAATTTCAAATTCAAAGAAAGAAATCTTTTTTGTTTTACATAAAATATCAACATTTGTCAACATAGAAATATACACAGTAACAAAGTAAAAGTAGACCGATTCAATGTGTTTTAATCCACTTATCCTAGTATCGCTAACCATTTTGATGGTTTTAGATGGTTGGAGGCAATCGGCAGGAAGCCTTGCACCTATGTTTCGTGCTAGTTGGCACTTGTCAGCAAGGCGTATCTGCAACCTTTAAGGAATTCATGTCCCTTATGAGATTCAAACCGTCACCCAGTGAGTACTGCAGTCAATAATGTTACCACTGAGCTATTCGGGATCGCGATTGACCTCCTGTAGGACTGTATTGAATATTTTTGATTGGACACTAGTAACTCGTGTGATGTGTCTAGTCCTTTCTTTAGTGCAGACTGAACTCTATCAGTCAGGTTTGCAATGTGGCCACCATTCTAGGTAGCTCGCCACCACGGTGTACACTGATTTGATGATATTAGATTGTTGGAGGACTAGACACAACACACTAGCTACTAGTGTTCAATCAAAATGTTAATGGTTTTATTATAAATTATAACCAGTTGAGTATTTAACTCTCTACAACAACTTGTCTTAAAGCTGATTCATACACGGCACAGTGAGTTTTGTCCATATCGTCAATATTATTATTCAAGTATTCCCCCGTTTAGCTGGGATCCAAAAGATCATGAGATTTAGTGACTCAACGTGTGATCACATGTGGTTCAGAATCAAAATCAAAGGCAAACTTGCTGTAATTTACTTTTTTTTCTTTTCTTCTCTTTCTGAAATTAATACGAAGTAGAGAACTCTCCTTCGAATGCTTACTCTTGTCAAACTATTGCTCTTTAGTTATCAATCAACGAGGCTGTGAAGTAACATCGATTGAGATGGTTAGGATATCTGTTACGCATGCATGACTAGCCATCGCCTTCCTCGACAATGGGCAATGTTAGCTGACATAGGGTCAGGTTGGAAAAGAGCCAGTGGTGGTCAAACCAAAACATGGCTTCATCAGTCAATGAAATCCACAACAGCTAGTTTAAGCCAAGTAGGAAGGTGTAGACTTCCTCACTGGTTGGGGTACTCGGGACGGTAAATATCAATGGCTGGAGACAACTGATGCCAGCTCACGATGATGAAATCCTCCATGCAATCAAACAATTGGTGATATGGCTCAAAGTCGTTCTCAATAGCTGGCACAGATGCATCCACTCCTTGTGACTTATACTACCCAATAAAACTATATTGTTCTTCGTTATTACTATTCATTTTGTCTCATATCACTGTCTACTGTCTCTATTTTGTATTTCTTCTACTTTCTTCTCTGTCTTTGTGTGATACATGGAGTATGGCGACTTGAACTGCTGCACATCGGTGCAAAGTTCTATGTTGAAAACAGTCAGTTAGCCAGTTATCTTTTATTTCTTTTCTATATTGTTGTTGTGGAGTATTGCTTGGTACTCATATTGTATCAAGTTTTATGTTTTAAATTAATAATAATAATATTCACCTATTTCACACAGTTACATAAATTGTAAATCCCCACTTTCCATTTATTAAATGGAAGTTATTTGTCAATGTCTACTGGAAAAATGGTTGTGAGAAGTTAACAGGTTTCCTGAAAGCTTCATACACAATCACTTCAGAAATACTGAGGATATACAACCACTTAGCATAGCTGTTCGGAATTAAAATTGGGGTTATGTAGGGTAGCATAATTTGGCTACATTTCGTTAGCTCTTGCATCAATATTCTGGATACAACTTAGATGTGTCTAGTGACTTAATATACGCTAATCCGGGCAACACCTTGTGCCTTGTAGTGTGAATTATAGTTTCTAGTTGAGTGAACTTCTGCTTTGCATTTGTGAAACCAAAAACATAAACAAAGTGAAAACCTTGTAATTCTGTGCTTTTGACCACTGTCTCTGTAAGATTACTTCAATAACGTGGTTGTGTCATGCTGACAGTGCATGTATGCACAAGATGAAGTCATTTACTACCAGAAAACACTGGTTTTGGTGAACTAGACGCCGTATGAATGTAATCCCGTTGTTTGTCGTCGACGGGAGTGTTTAGAATAAAGAAGAGTTGTTTCAGGTTGGTATCTGTTGGTGCTCAACTTTCTAAGCGCAACCTAACGGACCATGTGACTCAATAGCTTTAGACAACACATACAACTCATAGTCGGAACCAGTGACAATTATGCCACAACTTCTTTGTTTGTTTTCCTATCAAAAGTAATAGGAAATAGCATGTCATTTTGGATGTAATGAATGAGAATGTCTGCTGTCTGCCAAATAATTGTTATTTTATTTAAGTTTTTTTTCTCTCTATGCCGTTGTCATGTCATTTGTGTGGCGTACAGTGATGTGGCCCATTGGCTTAAGCATTCAGTTTTCAGCTGACGAGTCACGGGTCCGAGTCCCATTCCACTCACTTCAGCCTGGACAACTGAGTAGTATCATCAGCCGTCACACGGTAAGTGTGGCTCTTGGTCGGGTACAGGAAAAATATGTTCCGGGTAACTGAACTTAAGTAAACAAACGTAAAGGGTTTAAAACGAACTACCAGTCACATTAAATTTTCATATTTAATAAATCTAGGGATGAAAGTGACTTCAATACTGTTATGACTTACCCTTCAACTGCATACTTTAGTGTTGTGACCTGAAGCCTCTTATTTTCTGATAACCACAAGGGAATCTCAGATATACTTAAGACTGACAACCCTAACTTCATTAACTGAAGTAAATATAACTAGGCTACCTAACACCATCTTTTTTAAATGTAGACTGTAGGAAAGCGAAAAAAAACATAAAAAACTGATGTGGTATCCTAATCTGAGAAGCACATATCAGTGGACCACTATCAACACTAAGGCCTATGAACTTCCAGAGATTTTCAAAAAATTCACTTACCTCGAAGCTTGATAATTTGATAGATCTCCAGTATTTGGAAAACGAGCTGCCTGAGTTTTTGGAAATCCTCGTGTAGACTGAAGTTCATCTCGAAGCTGGAGTAATTCTGCATATATAAGTTCATATCTTGCTTTAAATTCAGCGGCTTCTTGCTCTGCTTTCTGTCGCGCTTTCCTTTCACGATCAAGTTCAGCTAAAGCTCTGTCTCTATCAGTTGTATCTAACACCTAATTTATCCCACACAGTTTAATCATAGTAAAATAAAAACAAAAGCTTACACATTAAAAGTATATCATGGGTGAATAGAAATAGGATAGTGTATGAATTTATGGTTATTTGCTAGGTCAAATGAGGGTTATGTGCTACATGTATGATTACAGTATATATCATAACCATCTGAACTGAATTTTCAACGTAGAACTTTACACAAAAGTGTAGAAGTTTAATTTGTAACAATTCGTAAAAGCACATACATAAGTAGAGAAGAAATGTAATGAAACTGCAGTAACTGAAAGCGTGTGGGAAGAATAATTACATGAAGAACACTGAGGATTTAATGCATCTTGGAGTGAATGCATCTGAGCCACTGAGAACGATCTTTAGCCACGTTAACAATCCTTAATAATTGGTTCATAGCATTTCGATAGCAATAATCAGGCAGGTCACACCATCCTACTTGGCTCAAACCTACTGTCAACGACTTCATGGATTAGTGTACTTTTTTTAGTTTGACCATCCGTAACTCTTTTTTAAACTAGTCCTATGCCGGCTAAAATTGCTTGGCGAGGAAGGCGATGGATCGACATGGGTGACGCGTGTCCTAAACATTTTAATCGATGCAAATTCACGTCATCGTGTGACTTTCCCTTCATACCTAAAACTCCCCTGGATTTCATTACTAATGACCATATTTGAACACCTAAAAAGTGAGAACAAACACCTATCATCGGAAAGTACTAGCCTTTTCATATCTTACACTTTAAACAACCAAAACTTAAAGCAGTAAATGACAGGGTGAACTGTCGCAAAGTATATATGCATAGCTAGGTATTGCAGTCGCACTAAGGATAACACAAGTCGGTAAGTGCTGAAAGAGTCTTTTTGTAACGTAATAAAACTTCGTCAGCAATCACTCCATTAGGGTTGGTGTAACTTTCGAAATAAGTGAAGTGGTCAATGCGCCCAATAATTTCACTTTCCTACTATTACACTAAGAATCAGTGAAGACCAGTCCTTCAGGTCATTTTAAATTTCACAAAGGCGAACCGCATACCAAGAAAGTTAGTTTTTCGCTCAAGGTGCTAAGAAAATTCAACAATTCGCCAGTGTCTCTACGTAGGAGTATATCATCTGCATACTCCACGTGACTATCCTTGTAACAGGTGAACTTACTAAAATAGATATGACTAAATAAAGTGTTAGAGCAGCAGAGACTCTCACAAGGGGATTGGAAGGAATCACTATTCAGGCTATAAATAATAATACTCAAAAATATAGTGAAATGAAAATTTTTTCGACCATGACATTACCAATAAGCGTTTTAATAAAATCATGAAGTTATATTATAAAACCTGTGACACCTCACTGGCGTCTGACCACGTTAATGTAAATTTCAGTTTAACAACCAATTACCTTCAGATTTCTACAATATAATACTCGAACATCATGTCGGCTGGCCTTCGCATTGCATTGGGGACACTTCGAATTTTTACCAACGGATTTGAACCACTTCATAACACACCTACGATTAAATATTATAATAAGTTCATTTGACATACGAATAACCAAAAAGATGTCCACAGCGAAGACAACAAACCTTGTGCGGACCTGAAGATGTCCATAATTCAAAACATATGGAACAAGTCTAAGATACAGGTTTAAAAATCTAACAGACCTACTTCAGTGTCTTCACCGAATGATTCCTCATGAGTTTCAGTATTTTCCTTTGGTTTTTCTAATTTGGTATCACTAGCAAATTCACTTTCAGAGTCACTCTAGATTTCAATGGTGGAGCATAATTATAAGCGAAGTACTTGTTCATCAGAATCCTCGTCATTTGAGTCAGAAACAGATATCTAAAATAAAAATGAACAAATGAAAAGAACTACTAACAATTTCTTCATGAATTTCACCACTCATTTCCTTCCCAAGGTCACATTAAGAATTTCGAACATTGCGTTGACATCTGTCATGGTCGTTGGCCGTCGGTTAGGTAAGTAAAACCTTTGCAGCTAAAATTGTTGAAATTCGATACATATTATATGTGCGCATTAGTTCAACGCATTAGTCTCAGGTTGCATTATACATATCACATAGGTTTCTAATGTCAGGAATAACAAATAACAAAGACAAACTCCAGGACTTATTTCATTCTAGTTGAGTAGATATTTATCTGCTGCCCCACTAGGAATTGTTTACTTCCAAATTATGTGAAGGGCCTCTACCTCAGGCGGGTCTCCTGACGTGGTTGTGTTTTCTGAATACTGAATATTCTAAATTGGTGTGACTACCCTAGTAACATGTACTGAAATGATGATGTGTCCCAGTAACTCACCTCCCATCAAAGAAGCCATCAGTTTCACGGCCTACTTCCCCTCGATTATGATTTTTAACTTTGTCAGACTTAAAACCAATGGAACTGAAGGCATTTGAAGTATCTTCATTCCTACCAGCAATGGCTGAGTTTGACTTGTGTTACCAACGTTGATGAAGGTTTGTTTTCGGACTAAAGCATTGCATTCCTTTGGACGGAGACCATACAAAATGAAGCACTGTGGCAACTTTTGGCGAATTAAGCTTCCTGCTTCAGAAGTCACCACTTTTAACTACTAAGTCGTTCCGCAGCAAAGTCATCCACAACTAAATGTATACATGTGAATATTTCACCCACGCGAGCCACTTGATTTACTTCCTAACGTACAATATTTTAGGACTGAATAAGTGTTTTTACCAATGCGACTTGAGATGGTTCACTGTCTTTATGAATACCAACTGTCAATTTCCCAAAATTACTAACCTACAGTATTCACCACTAACATTGGATGTTGTCTTTTAATTTTTAAGCCGACAACTTTTAACACGACAAGCCTACCACCATTTTCCCCTCATATACTTGACATCGGGCTCCATTACTGTGCTGATTTTAAATTTCCTCACTGTTACCAACCAGGTGTCTAAGGCCAGAAGATTCTCAGAATTTATATTACATAACTTTCAAACCCAAGAATCTAAAATGCTGCTGTATAAAACGCACGCACTGAACACCGCCCATTTATCCTATGTAGTGCGTTTATTAAGGACAAACTAAAGATTGAAAGTGTTCAGAGGTGATTCACAAGTAGAATTTTAGGAACAAGTCTAGAAGTGTCCTACAACTATCGTTGCACAAATCTTGGACCTCTTTGGCTAAGGCATCAATGACCTAACCTCATTCTCCTATTAAAAATACTCAGGGGAATAGTATACTTTCCTAACAACAACCTTCACTTCACTTCTTTAACATATAAATTGTGTAGCAAATGGTCTTCTCCAAGTCATATTCTTTGTCAGAAGAAGTCTCGTTCCGACATCTCTGCAACTAAGTTTAGGCAAATATCGAATTTCTTGCCAAGTGAAGTCAAAGCCAATACCACAATCAGACGATTCACCTATCTGCTAAATAAATCTTTCTCAGTTTGCTGCCAGTAAATAATTCGTGATATTGTTTCTTCCCCTCTGACTTATGCACATAATATATTTGTTCGCTCAATATATTAACATACATATTTAGTGTAATCACCGTTTCCCAAAGTTGTTCTAAATTCTTTTCTTAGTTGGTACAAATATATGCTTAGCAAGATTCAACTCACAATGCCTATAATACAGCCATACAAACCTGAAGTGGAATACACAGCATAAATGAAATGCAGTCATATGATATCTGCTTTGGTTGCCAATCGGATATATTTTGTTGTGTCTATTGATCGTTAGTCAAATATGACTCGCAATCTATCTTGTCTGTCAATCAACTAAATAACAATGTATGACCTTTGTCAAATGACATTGCAGCCAACCATATTCCAGTTGGTGGTAAGGAAAAGCTACTTACCTGTCTTACTGGTTAATTTATGTTAGTTATTTTCTTAAATTCTGCTACTGTACAACTGGTTGATACTGTTTTCACACAGTCTTCTGTGACAGTTAACTTTCCTTGTTGCAGTAATATAAGTATCCTTCGTTAACGAGTGGGGGTTCTAAATTTACTCTTTGGGTCAGGGGAAATTTAACTACTAAGCAATACCAGTCGTTCTGTCATCATCCGTTGAATGTGTTAGTCATCTTTATACTCAGTCACTCTCTAACAATAAAATACTGAGACAGTTTCACCAAATCTATACGAACTATGGTATTTGTAACCATATCATCTTCATCGCCTGAAAAACTCTGCAAAAATGAGTTCAAAAACGAGCAACAGCAATACGTCCACGAAGGTCAGCATATTATTATTGCGGTAGGACTTTCCAAACATAGATATCAAGACATTAGAGTGTACTAAATATAACTCCGATTATAATACTATAGTATATCCACGTTCTCACGTTCCACAATGTGCCAAAACGCTTAACACGTACAAGGACGAACCAGGTCGTATTAAGAAGCACAAGTGAAAACCTGATAAGATGTGTTGCTAACGGAATCAAATTCTGAAGAGCTCCAGTTGACCACGAAAGTGTGTAGCCACACAAAATATACATTCCTGTTAACAAGTACTATGGTGTTCTGGCCTTACAGTAGTGATCGTCGTAGTCGTTGTGTTCATGCTTGTTCTCACCTGTTTACATTTCACATGGATTGATGCAAATGAAAAGTATGTGGAAGGTGAAATGAGACAACTTATTAGAAAGAAGCTTGCAGTCACGTCAGCCTGTTTCTGTGTCACATGAATTCGTTGGCCAGTTGTATACACCCACAAAACATTGTTGGCACGCTTACATTGCGAAGCCGGACCACTCCTCAATCGATGTTATTTGTCTCACGAGCTCCACTGCAAAGCATTCTCATATACTTCATGCTTATATGACTAATCAATCTAAAATAATGAGAATGTCGTCTCAGAATATTTTCGTGAATTCACTTGATTCCTTGCACATTCTCAAAAGAATCGCTTTGTCACATTAGATAGCGCTTTCACCCAGATACCTGGAAAACTGATGCACCTTGTATAAAATGATTGCCATGCAAAGTTTCACAAGTCTCACTGTTCCATCACTAGAGTAAGCTATTCCCATAGAAGAGACGGAAATTCTTTCTTCATATCACACGTTAACGAGTGTGTGAAATTCGTATATTGTAACATGTCAGGACAAGCTTTCTCATCATTTCAGAAGATATTTATTATCTCACCATATGCATTACCACAAGTTGACCTACATCAGAAGAAGATGAGAGTATTCCTGAGAACAAATCGTGATATCTGTTTGTTAACGTCAACCAATGTGCCCCCTTCCATGAATTCTGTATATAAGTCAGTTGATATGCATGCTACTTTGTGTATGCAGCCATTTTGATCATCCGAGATGCCGAATCATCAGGTATGTGTGGTGATCTAATGAGTGAGATTGAGTGTTTCAGGTGAGCTATGTTCGAGTATGCTTCCAGTTGCTCTTCTCAATCCTACTTCTCTTCGCGATGTATTCCACCGAGGTTCTCGCCTCTCCACTCAGCAATGGTAAGTGTCAGACAACTGACTGATGATGTATTTCACCATCGGACGAGAAAGTCGACAGTGTTAACTGTTCTTCTTCGCCCTCTTGTTTTACAGAGAAACGCAATTTGAATAAATTCGTGAGAATTGGTTGAGACTGTCCTTCCCGACGATGTAAATATCCTGACGTCACGAGTACATATTTATATTTCCTCTTTTGTGTTTTACACGATTACACACTTGAATTTACTCACTTTGTGTATTGAGAATAATAAAGAATATTCTGCAAAGCTGTGTTGTCCTTTTCGTCCAGTTTGACTAATTGACTGCCTGATTTATTAGTAAGGTAGTTAATTGGTTGGTTAGCTGGTTGGTTGGTTGGTTGTTCTTATCATGGTTATCAATCAATATTCGGAATGCATTCACTCTCGTCATGCTCAAACACCTGGCCTTTCGCACAAAGCCTCGCTCTCCCTAATCATAATATTGCCAATCTAATCACTCTCGTGAGTGATTTGTAAAACATTTCGGATTATTCGTCTTACGTATACACAGTGTATTCGAACGTGAACTCTGTAAAGCGTGACAAACACGAAATACTCGGCGTATCACCTTCTTCATGAATGAGAGCGCGCTACACATTACTTCTAATCTCATGCTTTCTCTTCCCTTGTGTATTTGACATGAATGCATGTCAGTGCGTTGAATGTGCAATGAAGGTGTCGATGTGATGAAGATATGACACGTGGCTGATTGCCTTAATTTTGTCTACTAACCGAATGAACCGATGCTTTAGATATTCTACTCAAGCACCAATGGGATCTCAGCAGATATCATAGGCATCACACTCATCCCTGCCTGTCAAATCTGATTCTCCATCATATCAGTTTACCATACTGCGTGTGATGCTGACCGTGACTTCGTAAAGAACTCTGTCCGACCCTATCTGGACATATCGATGAAACACATTCAGTCTTATTTGCTAGCGCCAGCACCCTCAGTTTCACCACATTTTCCAGATTAATACTGTGCGCATGCAACATGAAAAATTACTTGAATACTACTTCATACATCTGGTTCCCTTGATAAATTTCGATAGAGAAAGAAGGACCAGATTTGGAGTATAAAATGATATCATTCTGTTTCACAGATTCTCATCAGCTAAATGCAAACTACCTGAAATTACGATGTTTATGAATAATAACATTTCATGCTTCAATGTTTGAAAGGTAATAGGGAAAACATCGTAAGATGAACGCATCCGGAATAAAAGTATTACAATTCGCTTTTGTTTAAGTTACCAACAATTTATATACTATCAAAGAATGGAGAAAAAGGGACTGAGAGATGACAGAAAACAGGTAAACCTAATAAACAGTGTTAGCTTGCACGTCAACATGGAAACTGAACAAAGTTAACGTTCATCAAATTGTTGCTGCCGTAGGTGCACGTAAATTTATAAATGTAGTTGGATGTAACATCAGCAGAGTACTTGAGTATTACTTGAAATGTTGGG